CACAGTACTAAAAGTTTACCTATAAACAAAATGACTAATATAAGTACAAATAAACCAAATCTAAGCCGGCACATTCATACATATAAAATGTACTCATAGAGTGTAGAAAAACAAAACAAAAAACACACATTCACAGATGATCAGATACATTCAGTGGTAGTAACTTCTAAATAACAGCCGATAACATATGTAAAACAGCTTTCATTTGTGTGATTATGATTTGATTATGATTTGCACATACATCACAACATACACAGAAACTCTGCATTATAAATATCATTTTCCTTAATGACATGCTTTTTGCACATGCAACTCGTATACACTTTAAGTAGCAAAGTCATAGGAAGCAAATAAGTATTCTAAGGTCATTACGTATGGTTCAAAATGCAAACACTGGTGACATGCACAGAAATAATTAAGTTTACTCAACTGTAAAGTTTTGAAAAATACGATTATTGCTTTTCCAATATCAGAAAATCTGGTGATTAGGTCAGCAATTTTGCCCCATGACCTCAACATAATGAAACCATGAGTTTAACTAAGTTCCACTCTTGTTTGAAGGTGTCTATCTACAAGGGGGTTGGCAGGTAATCTATGGATACCCCAAAACACCAGCTACAATTTGGACTGCCCAGCACCCTGGATTTTTTTAAACTGGATATATATTAGTATACATTTACACACATAAAACCCTTATTGTTAGGTCCGCCCCCCCCCCCCCCCCCCCCCAATCTCTGTTCATCCAGCGCTCATTGAAGGGACAGACAGGGGCTGTGGCTTTAGAGAGGCAAAGCCAGCTGTCAATTCCCGGCTGCAGCATGGCTTTGCACTGTCAGCAAATAGCAAGCAGTAGCCCGCTAGATACTGACTTTGGCTCACAGGAGTACATTAGGAAATGTACTCCTTTGACCCAAAAGAGCACTAAAGCCATTACTTTACTGATGTGTTAACAAGAGGCTTATTGTATGACTGCAAAGAACCTGCAGTATGCATGATTAGAAATTACTCTCCTGTATCACAAGCAGGGCTTCTCGGATCACCAATTTATTTATTACACAGTTGCATGTTACATTTTGTGCAATTTACATGTAAAAATGTTAGGTTTAATCTTTGGGACTGCTCATGACCAAAGAGACAATTTTAGTTTTATGTCATCATGCAGCCAAATAACAACTATCTGCTTATTTTCTCTGTTGCCACATTTTGGAGCACTTATTTAGCACCGAAACTCAACCTTGGAACTGCTGCAGAATTTAGAAGTGCTAAGAGGCACATGCGCAGATAATTAGTGACCAATTATGCAAACGGAGTACAAAAAATAACCATGTCCCTAACTTGCGACAAAGTGACAGATTAGCTAATGCTAACAATAAAACATTGATAAATGTGCCTAGCAATCTAATCCAGGTCAATGCCAATTCCCACACATTCCACCCCTGGAAGGAACAGAACTTGCAGAATATAACACATAGTTGCCCCAAATCCACAAGTCTTGGTTGTACAGGTTTACAGGTTATGTTAATAATCTGAAAACAGCTGGATCAGGCAGCTGTCATCGCACATCTGTGGGTAGCCTAAAACACTTCTAATCTAAAACACTAAACTATGATGCCCATATAATTAAAATCCTAGACTGAGCTATGCTTGATAAAAATAAATTCTGATTAAGGTACCAAAAGAACACTACATATTTTCTTTAAATCCTGAACCACAATTCCAAACCACAATTATTAAAGTGACACTAAACTCAGGAGTTAAATCTTAAAAATGCATTCAAGTACCTCAACTATTAACAAAAATGTATCTTATTTGTGTATCACTCAGCTGTAGATCCTCAAATCATCTCTGAATTGGTGCTGACACTGTCCGTCCTTCTGGAGGGTGGCTACTTTTGTTTCCCCTGGGCTGTGTGTGTTGTAAAGTAGTCTCGCTCTCATGATGGACTACAACCTTAATACAAATTAGTAAACTAAATGTGAGATTGTAGTTCATTGGGGGAGCAAACTTGGAGCAGTGACTACTTTACAACACACACAGGGACAATGGGGAACAAAAGTAGCTACCCACCAGAAGGTAGGACAGTGTCAGCACGAATTCTATGATGATTTCCCAGATAAATATGTTGAAAAATGGTGTGGCATTATCACGCCCATTCACAAAATGCAGCAATGGTTGGGCAACTGGAAGAGGTATCATGGCAGCAGATAAGTCACATCTGCACACTGTGTGGCCCCGCTATGAGCAACTACAATCCCTATCATGCCATTGGGATTGTCGTAAATGGGCATTAATGGGGGCAAGTATCTTATGGATAATTGCCCCCACGTACGAGAATCGTGCAGTGTATGGGCACCTTATCCTGGCCTATTAATTAACCTATACAGTTACAGCAGGTGGTTCAGACTGGGTCCTCCCACTATAGCGAGCAGCAACATCTCCACTTGCTGCAACAAGAACCACACAGTGGAAGAAGACTGGTGGCAAGGGATTAGAAGGCATACAGGCCACAGGTCTTATAAAATACATGTTAAAGTGACACTAAACTCAGGAGTTAAATCTTAAAAATGCATTCAAGTACCTCAACTATTAACACAAATGTATCTTATTTGAGTATCACTCGGCTTTAGCTCCTCAAATCATCTCTGAATTGGTGCTGACACCGTCCTTCCTTCTGGAGGGTGGCTACTTTTGTTTCCCATGGTCCCTGGGTGTGTTGTAAAGTAGTCTTGCTCTTGTTATGGACTACAATCTTAATACAAATTAGTAAACTAAATGTGAGAATGTAGTCCATTGGGGGAGCAAACTTGGAGCAGTGACTACTTTACAACACACACAGGGACAATGGGGAACAAAAGTACCCACACTCCAGAAGAAGGAAGGACAGTGTCAGCACCAATTCAGAGATGATTTGAGGCTCCGCAGCTGACTGATAAAAACATAAGACAAATTTATGTTGATAGTTACGGTGTCTGTATGCATTTTTAAGATTATCTCCTGAGTTTGTCACTTTATACTTTGGTGAAATAAACGCTTTCTCGAGACATTATTTAGCATCTGGCAAAGGACAGTTCTTAAGCAAAGTCTACTGCCGTCTAGTGGCCTTGCCCAAGGCCACTAGACGGCAGTCACATGTTTAAGCACCATGCATAACTAGTTGCGTCTGTAGACTGATTTGCCATAAGGTCCCATGCTTGCTGGGGACCTTGCGGCGGCAGTTTATAGCACCAGCCCGCATATCTCCTGCTCCTCCTTCCCGCCGGCCGCACCCACCTGCGAGACCTTGCACAGCCTCCTGGGACCCTGCACAGCCCTAGTCCAACACTGCACAGTTGGAGTCCGTATCAGAACAACCAGGGGTGCAGCGTTTGCAGTTGCGACCGAGCTCTGGCGCTTCACTATTGTTCTACAATCATTAGTCTTGTTTTTAGAAAAACTGTCACGACACGAAAAAAAAAAAAAGAAGTATTGGTAATTGGTATCGGCGAGTACTTGAGGAAAAGTATCGGTACTCGTACAGACTCTCTAGGCGCTGTTTGCACAGAAGTTCCACAGACCAACCATCCTTGATACTTTTAGACTGCAAGCTCTAATGGACAGGCCCCTCCTTACCATCTTGTCTTGATTTGCATTGTAACTGTAATGCCTTCCTTATATTGTAAAGTGCTGCACGAACCATTGCCGATATATAAATCCTGTGTATTAATAATAATAATAATTTGGTGACGTGTATTCGCTAATCCATCCACACAGCAGCGTAAAACCATAGGCAAAAGCTCCAAGTGTGGAAGGACAAACGTATCCATCAGAATGGATCCAGGGTCCCAAGCCATGTACTCATTCCATGACTACAACAAACTGTTTAAAGGGTTGCAGCCTGCTCTCTACAGTTAACTAACAAGGGGACCACAGCAACCTCACACTGGGCACCAGTATAGGGCAAAGAGTCCTCACTTACGACAGCAGGCTTGGCTCAAGCAAGGAAAGTGGATGTAAGGGACAAGCCCCATCCAGATCTACACCCTCCCAGTGGTGATACGTCTAAGGGGTCTTCAAGGACAGGGATCCACTGGCTGATGGACCATGGCCTTGTGGCTAACTGGCTTGTGCATTGCAACACATGCATATCTGAGTGCAGAATGCAGGATCCAGTGCTTGAAGCAACGTTACAGGCTGGCTGCAACTTCTTGCTGGTGGGTTCCAGGTACAGTCCTCCAAGGCTTAGCCGAGGAGTCAACCAATCTGGAAAGCTGCAATTAAGGGAGCCACAAAGGCTATGAAGCAGCTACAGAATTGCTGGAAGAATCATGAGAAAAAATAAATAAAAAGGAGTAATTTGCAAAAAAACTGAAGCTTGCAGGGAATAGAAAGAGCTATAATAGTGATGTCCTTACAGCTTTGTTTGCCACTGTGTAATCACCTGAAAGTAGCTGCATATAACCCATGGTCTAGAGTGCTATGTACTGTACCATTAGGAAAAAAGGAATTCTGCTGTGGAGCCAATAAGAGATGTAAAAGAAAATCTGACTGAATCGTATAAACCTGCAATGTCATTTTAGCTGGCTATGCTTTTCATTTCAAACTGATTTTTCAATACTTATTATTTCCATTTTTTGGTGTTTGAGATTTTTTGGAGGCTGTGATTATACCTAGTATCATATCTTGCAACTTATAATTACACCTGTACCACAGATTGTAAAACAGAAATAAAAGAACAGTTTGTCATATTCTCACATTACACACACAGCAACCAAGCAAAGCTCTTGAGGTGCAAACTTAAAATCTGAGCAGCCAAATATGACTGAATGCAACAGAAAAATGCACAAAAAGCAAACCACTGCAGGATGATGGAGGTTAATAACCAGACATTTAAAGGCAGTTGTCTTAAAAACTGTAGTGCAGTTGTCTGGAATTATTTATCAGCGCACTTCGCATTCCATAAAGCAGACAGTAGAACTGTCCCTGCCATAACAGCAGAGGGCACAGCATCAAGCGTGCAGTACCGTAGAGGCACTCCAAATCGTCCTGGCCCGAAATCAGCCAGTTCTTGAAGAGACGCAGGTGGTAGGAGCACTGGTGCAGGTGGTGGGCCATTGCCCCATCCAGACAGATGTTCCGAGTCTGAGGGTAGTCAGAGGAAAAGTGGCGCAGCAGCGGGGCGACCTCGTGGCCTTCCAGGCATTCTACAGGAAAGTGGCCCACAACAAGCGACAAGGAAAAAGAAAAGCGTGAGGATGACGAGATGAATAGAAAGGAGAAAAATAGCAAAATAAACATGTGATGAAGCATCTGGAATTGTGTCAAACAGCAGATGGAAAATCCTCATGAATCATGCTAGAAAGAAAAATAAATGTTAACAGCTTAATGCTACAGAGGCAGTAGAAGTACATTACTCTGCTTCTTTTAGGTTACATAAACCTGATATTTGAATAAAGCTAATAAAAATACAGGATCAAATGTAATCTAATGGCTTATTCTGATGAGGTAAGCTGTATTTTGCAGGTGCAGCTCACAGCTCTGCATTTTCTGAGCAGGTAGATAAGCTTTGCTGCAAAAATGCCCATGGCTATGCTCACTTGCATTATGTTGGTCTAACAGCTTCACTCAACACAGCCAAAGCCCATTTAGAAGGTCAGTAAATGCAGAATGATGAGTTGCGTCTGTAGGATGCAGCTCATCACACATCTAAAAAAGCCCCAAGAAGTGGATATCATTGTAAATAATGATATCTGCCACTATACACTAACTGGAAAACATTTCCCACTCACTGTAAAGAAGAGACATTGTGCTAAACACATCTCTATTAGCTTACTTGTAGAACACACAACAGTCTGTTGCAGTTTAAGGAATTAGGATAAACTATGCCTTAAAGTTGATGTATAGCGCATGCTCTTTATCGATTAGCTTTGAATTTTAGTTTGTTTGTAAAGACACTTTGATAAATACAGCACAGCAATCATGATCATTAACAGTGTGCTTTATACAGCTGTCATTTGCACTCAGTAATTATACTTAGTCTTATGTCACTTAACAGCTCAATGGCATAATTTCCAGACAATACTTTGCAAACGTTTTCCTACATCTGCATATTTTAAATATCTTAGGATCAACAAACATCAATCTTCTTTGCATTTCAAACCAGATATAGCAACTTTAGGAAACAAATATTTGCATACAATTTTTTTCTAAATGTTTGCTGTTAGCACATATGCTAGTAGGATTAAAGGCAACTAAATGAAAAAGTGAATTTGCACACATGAAACATGAAGTTAAATGCAGCATTCTGATTAGCTTTCAAAGTTAACTTCCTGCTCCAAGTACCAAGTTAGTTTCTAAAAGGCATCTGAGATGATGAAAACTCAAACAGTATACCATTTTTTTTATTATGCCTATAATTTCTAGGCACATAGTTATTTTTCCATTATATAGCCATACCAAGCATAAGTAAAAGAGATGAGAAAAATATATATTTATATTGAGATGTCCGAAGCAGAATACATTGATACTTAAGAGTTTACATTTGTTGGATCTTTTTACTTTTGTATTTAGTTTGTAGAACAGTAAAAAGGGGTTTCTACATTACCTATGTATTTATTGTATACCCTGCAGGAATATAGTAGCTAAAGCAGCTTAAGGTGACACAAAACCTTTATGTATTAAACATGCTCTCCTTAGAACATTTAAACACCATATCCCTGTCCTTTCTATTTTAAAATGTTAAATCTACCTTTTATTGCCATTTTAAAATAGCTGGGCGCGCTCCTGCTGCCTCTCCATTTTGCTGTGACTTCCGGCGTCCTTCTCCACAAAGTGCCCGAGCATTGTGGGAGTGCGCCCCACTTTCCTTTACAACAATTCCCATAAGCACAGTGCGCTGTGTTCCCACTGCGCCTTTGTCAATTAAGCCAGCATTCCTCCTCCTTCCCCCCCCCTCAGCGAGCAACGGTGCACTGACATTAGCAGCAGAGTAAAGCAGAAATAGCCAAGAAACACAGATGATGGAGCGGTTTGTGCTCCTGAGCTGAAAGGCGAGCCTTCCAAAGAGTGGGAAGAATGCAGATGGGAGGGATTTGAGGGAGGAGAGAGCAGGAGTAAGAGATGTGAGGGCACTTGAAACGATCTCACGTCTCACTGTAGTTCTCAGCTTGAGCGTGCACACAGGGTGGCTACTTTTTAGCTCTAATAGGAACCATGAAGAAAAGTAGTCATCCTCTCGCAGGAAGTTATACAAATAGATAAAGAAATTGTTTTTTGCAGCAATTAAAAGGAAAATAATGAAAAAGAGAGTTAGCTCATTCTTAAATGACTATATTGTAGATATTATTTTATTATTTAATTTTTGGGTTTAGTTTTGCCAAAAATGCAAAAGAGTGTGCACCAAAAATCTCAAGTTGTAAGGATAATTATAAAGTAAGCTGTTCTCTAGCATAATGTAAATCAGGTTCTGCCCCCCCCCCCCCCAAATTGTCTAGCTAGACAGAATAATGGGTTGAGGAATGACGACATCAAGCTTAAAAAATGCATCTGGAAGGCCTTAGGAAGTATTTAACCTCACAGTGTATATTTTTCCCCCTTACAATCTGTTGCATTATTGGTGGGTTTGTAGGGAATGCTCATGGACTGTGCCTTGTTTACTTTTAGAATTTAGGTCCACTTTGAGAGACAAACCATCCAGTTCCAGCTGGATTCAGAAGGTTACTAAAGAATTCACCCCAAGTATCTCCTTACTTCATAGTGGCCTGGCAATTTCACACATAAATATAATGGATTACTAGAGTTTGGAGAACTGCATACCCCCGGTTCCCGAGAGACTAAACAGCTATTAGGATGAACTCGATGGGCTTGCGTCTTTTTTCAACCTGGCTAATTATGTAACTATGGAGCAACCTTTATATGTGTAATAAAAGCATCATCACAGGCTGCTGAACAAAAAAAAAAATGTCGGTTTGCCTTTAAAAATGTTTTAGTGAAACTCATGTCAGAATACCTAGCTCTGGTATTCTGACATCCATTTTGCCTTTACTGATAGCAGATTATTGCAACATCATAATACAATAGATAACACAGAAGACAAAAGCCTGCTATTTACATGGTCTACCTTTTATATTTGTTTGCTATATTTATAATCTCTCTGCTTTTGTAACTTTTTTTGTTGTTGATGGTAGTATCCTTTTTGAATGATTAAAAAACAGAAGCAACCAATGATTAGCATGTAGGCCTTAACTTGGAGTGTACAGATAGAAAAGCATGTAGTAGGTACTAGGGATGCACTGATACCGATACTAGTATCAGTATCGGTGCAGATACCAAGTATTTGGGCGAGTACTGATTGGCCGGGAAGCCAGCTCGATGCCAACTGGCTGGGAAGCCAGTTTCCTGGTCAATCACAATTGAGCCGGCCAAACAACATGGAGCCGGTTTACTGGACAATCAGGAAGCCGGGCAGTATGTCATTACATGCCTCCCGGCTTCCTAATTGTCAGAAAAGCCGGATCCATGCCAGCGGAGGCACTGGTATCGGTACTCGGTATCGGCAAGTACCGAAAGTAAAAAATTGGTACCCGTACTGGATACCGAAAAAACGGTATCCGTGCATCCCTAGTAGGTACCCAAAACCAAAAAGATGTAAACAGTCCTCCCTGTTGAACTATAGTCAAGTCAAAAGTAACTAAGAAGTAATATTTCTATGTTGCTAAAAGTCAGATAATGACTTGTACATGTACATAATTGGTGCTACAATATGCATGGGTAAAACAAGAGATTCTCTGTTATTTATAGTCTTTAACTGCTTGAAGACCAGGCGTTTAGACCCCCTTCCTGGCCAGGCCATTTTTCAGTATTCAGCGCTGTGTTACTTTGACTGACGTTTATTCCGTCATGCAACGCTGTACTGAAATGAATTTTATACCATTTTTTGGGGACAGATAGAGCTTTCTTTTGGTGGTATTTAATCACCACTACGGGTTATATTGTTTACTATAATTAGGAAAAATTACTGAAATTTTATTTTTTTTACATTATGTTAGGAAACATTTATTATTACCTAGTTTTTTGGTAAAATATAAAAGACGGTGTCACGTCGGGTAAATGTACACCAAACATGTCAAGCTTTGCGCACCTGCAAAATCGCAGAAAACTACCACACCCAAAATTGGCCATAGGCGACGCTTTAAAAGCTTTTACCGCTCATCAGTTTAGTGTTATCAGTGACGGCGCAAACGTCTTTTTTGCACGTATGCGCCCCCGACGCATGTTTGCATGCGTGTATGTATGGGTGGGGACTTTACTTTTTTTTTTTACATTCTTTTTTATGTGTAACTTAAAATGTTTTTCAATATCGGGCATTTCCCGCTTGCGCGCGCCCAGCTGCACGCGCGAGGGGGCGTGTCTGAGCGGACGTCTAAAGATGCCCGCTCAGATCTTGAGAGATTCTTGAGTTGTTGGCTTTTTGAAGACACCATACTTGTAGGTGTACAAGAAATGAACCAGAACCCAAGATAAGAGACTACAACAACTGGGGACTAAACAAGGTACTACTACTATTTCTGGAAAATCCAGTCATTAGAACTATTTATGGCATAAAGACCCTGGGAAGAACCTAAATGCACCATCCATAAAAAAAGTGTCATGTCTGTTTGGGCAGATGCTACTTGCAGAATATTGAACGGGGGTTTCTATTTTTCTGTTTACTGGATCTATACTAGCATAGCGGCTACCATTCCTAAACACTCCAAAGACATGCTGGAAGGTTAAGGGGCTCCTACCTACATTGGCCCCTGTATGTATGCATGCATGCATGTGAGATAGGGGCCTTAGATTGAAAGCTCCTTGAGGGCAGGCACTGATATGAATGTGCGCTATGTGAAGTGCTGGGTAAAACCGTCAGTGCTATATAAATACCTGTAATAAATAAATAAACCATGCTGTGAAAATTGGAAATACTTAGAAGTATGCTAACTCGAGCCTTTTTAAAGCAGGCTCAAGTCACTAGAACCCAAAACAGGTCCTGAAATGCAGTGCTTTTGCTAGACAACAGAATTTAGTTTGGCTGCATAGGCATCTTTTACTTTGATCTGTTTAGTTCCCTTTTGCGTCATCATTTCCCTTTTACTTTTTTTAAAAGTAGAAAGGACACTCTAGTAGCACTATGGAGATCATCTTATACTTACCTGTCTGCCCATCT